TTATTTAACACTAGGACAAACTCCATATCCCAAAGAAAAATATTCAGAAGTGATGAAGTCTTTGTTCCTTTTATTTTTCCTGTTTGAAAAAGACATAATCTACAGCTCTCTCCCAGTGTGATTTCACTGACTACAAGGGAGTTATTTCCCTCAGCACCATCATTGTTTATTAATAGCTTAACACGAGTTTCAATATGTGCAAATCCCATGTGCAGTTATTTAGAAGATGTTCTGGTTTTATTAAAAAAAAAAAAAAAAAAAAGAGAGAGAGATGCTGCTTTCAACATTCTGACAAAGATATTCCGAAGGAGGACCCAAAAATAGGGGATAATATCTATACACAGTGAGGAATCAGCTGGTAACTCCCATTGATTACAGTGGAAGTTTTTGGATGTTAAGAGCAAGAAAACCAAACTGTTGGTTTAGGTGCTACAATCTGGATTTTAGAGCATACACCTTGGATTCCAACTCTAAAAGCCTATATCTTTACCATTTGTAACTTATTATTTAATTTTCATAAAGACAGATGGTACACCTAGAACCCAGAATCTCAAACAGATCTAAATTAAAAAAACTCCAAAAGAAAGGCAAAGAGTGCAGGGTTGAAACTTAAAATTGCAACTATTCCAGTCACTATAAACCAGTGGGAAGCTCATACTCCAGAACAATTTTTGGGAAGCTGTGCAGCTTTGCCCAAAATCTCACATCAAAAATGTTAGAGGAGAAGTAAACAAATAGCCAAATGGCCTCCTGATTGCCGTTTAGAAGGAATAGCATCAGCTCAAGCATACGCTACCAAATCCGAGATGTTTTTCAGCTGCACCGTCATGACAGGAGAATATACTCTGCTCTATAAACAGATGATATGCTGCTTTATAAAGCTCTAAAATATTTTTTACTTCTGGGACAAGTTTGGTTTATCAGAGTTTATTTCTGCGGGTTTTGCCTTCCTAATAAAGAAATAAAAATTTGGGATAAAAAGAGCTGTAAAGAAATTGTCCCTATGAACGAGGCTTTGAGTTTGCTATAGCAGTAAGAGACCTGAATTTGAATATTCCACATACTGCAGAAGATGCCAGTCGAAGATAGGTGCGCGTGCTTTGGCGACCTATTCAAAGGCTTTCTTTGAAATACTCTCCCAGTTGTTTTTCATAGCAGGGCATGAACCATGATGAAATCACTAAATTTGTGTTCCCTTGCTTTTGTTTAAAAAAAATTACTGCCATCCCTTAAAAGCTTGTTTTCTTTGTTGATTAAGCAGCAGTCAATTTTCCCTTTTCAAACAACCACTGAGCAACAGCCTCCCGACCCCCTCGGATATTCGGGCTGCCGGCAAATACTAAAACCTCGGTGACAAACTGCAAAAAAGCTCGACCTTTCCCCTTGTCCGGTGACCCCCTGTTCGATTTGTACTTTAGCTAACCAATACCTGATTAGATAATGCTCAGCTCTAGACCCACAAAATGAGATAAAATTCAAATTTATGGCTTTTCATTTAAACTGGTCTACAGCACTCTAATCATGACCCGAGCACAACTATATCACAACAAATTCTCTTTGTCCCAGAGTATGTTTTATGGCTGAAGTATATAAATGGACACAATACGCATTGTTTTCTCGGACTTGCTCCGACAAAACTCTGCACCAGTGCCATAGAGAGTCGTGCTATAGGGGAACGCAGGAACAGGCCCCATGAAATTCCTCAGCCTTCTGCAGCAAATTTTTCTTTTATCATCAACTGCCTGGCTGCAAAATTTAACAGCAGCAATTCCTCCAGCTTACACTTTTCTCCTGACCACTACAGGCTAATCCTAGTATCAACTCAGATGGACATCAGTCACAAAAACTGGAAGTCAGAAGTATCCCACAGCTGGAAATAGCCAAAACTATGACAACCTTTTGCAAGGGAATAAAAATGTCCTTTCCAAAGTTGTAGTTACAGTCCAGATTTGTGTGGAGCTAAAACCTCTTCCCTGCAATGTGCATGCAGGGTTTGGGTTTGAAACTTTCTAGTTTAAAACTCTAGGCTACTTAGCAATACTAAAGAATTGCAAAAAAGGAACAAATCTTTCATAGCAAAATCAGTAATATGTGTGGCATCAGAAAAAGGCTGAGGAAAATCCTCAGCTTCCCTTCAAAAAAGATTTTAAAATTTTTATGTTAATTATTTTCTTGAAAAGAGATTCTTCTTTCTTCGAAAATCAAACACCGTTGTACATTCAGTGTTTCACTTGAAACTCAAAAAAATGCAGATAAAATGGAAAGATTGATCTTTCCAGTAACTTAATTGTCCTCGCTGTAGCCACAGGGGAGTCTGTTCAAGAGAATTAAATAAGTACACAAACATTAGCAATGCTGCAACCCCACTATGTATTTCTCTGAGCAATACACACATGAAGCGAAGAAATGAGTAAGCCAGGACACAGCAAAATGCTGTCTTTGGCCTGTGGGACCAGCGAGCAGTATGAAACATCTAGCCTTTTGAAGCCACCAGACACAGCTGACCTCTGTAACACACCATGAACTGTTCTAGGAATGACACAAAATTTAAAAAAAGGGAGACTATCGTGACGGTACCTGCATCAGTGCAATTCACTCAGCAAGCAGGTATCATTGTGGAAAAAAAGATTTTAAAACATCCCATACTACAAAGTCACTTAAATACACGGTCAGTATCATACAAAAACTTTGATTCCATCCTTTCGTTTAAAATACAATAATGAAATTTCACCTTGATATCAGCAACAGTGGACTGAGTTCCCCATTTCTCTGACTTACTGGCACTTGACAGGACAAATACCCTGCTTCACAAAAGTGCCCATTCGGACAGAAAAACTGACACCAGAAAAGCTTAATTCCCAAGACCATACTTAAACCTCAATAAATGATACCTTTCCCTCACCATCCCATGCTTGCTTTGACACTGCCTGAGCCTGCACGCCAGTAACAGTTTCTTCCACGCCTTTTTGTCCCACGGACAGGTCCAAGGAAGTGGTGGTTTTCAGAGCAGTGTCATGATAAGTGTCTGGGCTGGGCACTGGTAAGATCTTCTCCAGCACTACCAGGTCCCCCCCACATCTGTCTTTTACCGTTAACCTTCACTACATGCCATTTTACTCATCATGTAAACTCTGGTAACCAGCGTTTCTTTGTCTCCCTTCAATTACTATAAATGTACTTAACCCACTTGTTGGAAAAATATTCTCTTTCAAGCTCCCCTGAGCACTACAGAGTACTTCTCGATGAGCGGCCAAATTGCAGAGGGACTTGACTGTTGATTTTGTGTGATTTTGCTCCAACACTTTTCAATAGCTTCTCCCCAGCTGTCCCAAATACATAACACTGTTCAAATGCCACAAGTCCTGCAGCTTGAAAGGGATTCAATCTGCCGGCTGGGCTTCTAGCACTATCAAGACATGCATTTCTTGTCTGGATTTCATAGACCTCCTAAATCCTAAATATTTGAAGCAGGAAGACTAGTCTCTGATATTGCAGCTTATTATTAGCATCTAAAGGTGTGAAAGTCAAGATGGGTTTCCCTCAGTTTTAGTGGGGCTATCCTGCACTACACTGCCTGAGGACCCAGCCTAAAATACCCTAATTTTGGAGCATGATAAACCTGCAATTACAGCCATGTCTCAGCAGCATTGCTCCAATTTCTGTTACCAATATCTGATCTTAAATGTGGTGTGGTTAAAGGTCAGATTTTATGCTTTCCTGGTGCCTTTTTCAAATACTAGAGATTTCTCACCAGGAATTATATCACATCAGGGTCTGTTAACTTGGTAGAGCGCTGCCAAGTCTATAATTTCTCCTGACACTGTTCTGTCATATTGTCACAGGTCTCACAAGAGTTTAAACTGGATGGAAAGTTCGGAATGAACTCACCGAGTATTTACAAACAGCTAAGAGCAAATTAAACATCTATTTTCCATCATGTCTGCAAGGCTCTGCTCCACAGCCAAACTCCATTTTTCCTGGGAAAATGAACCTCTCATCTCTCCAGAGGTCAGTCGTGGCCCTGGAGAGCCGTGCAAACTCTGCTCTTCTCCCCTTATCAGAAACCAAAGGAAACGTACAGATGGAACGCTGAGATTGCACTCTGTTTCTACAGCACATAGTTGAAACTATGAATAAAACCATGCAAGAACATTTGTCACCCCGTAACACAACTGGCAACGTGCACCACTTGAGGTCTAAAGCCCTGACCTGACCATGGACCTGCAGCTCAGCCAGCTCTATAGCGATATCATAGTGAGGAAAACACGTTGCCCCCGCAGGCGGGGAAAGCAAGAAGCAATCTCTGTACACGCCAAAGGAGGCCTTGAGCTCCTTCAGGAAAAGCAGCGTTTCTCAGAGCATCTGCAGAGGTAACATGAGCCACATCACCCCCACGCGTGCTAGGTCTGACACCAGCATCCAAACATACTGCACCAACTGAACGGCACAATGCCCTTTGAGTTCAATGGAAGCAGGATCAAACCCCCAACTTTTGAAGTCCGCAAGTAGCACAAGGTTCTGCAATAGCAGTTTTAGCCATACAATACTAGATTTTAGGGCTGTTCGAATCATTGTCGACCAAAAGTGGCGATTCACAACCCTGAAAGCAGCACCCAGTTTCTTTTTGAACAGACAGTCCAGTGTCATTTGCAAATCCCTCACCCACAGACATACTGCAGAACTGCCCAAGAGCAGACTAAAAATGGTACAGAAATATTCCAACAACGCAACTTCTTCCCCTCGTTCCCCAAAAGATGCATCACCTGCCTATATCCGCCCAGACAGATGTCATGTGTGAAGAGCAACAATAATTTCTGCCTTTTTTCTTTTTTCATTTCTGTTTGGTTCCATCCAGAAAACCCCGAAAGGCCACAAAGCAGTCTTCGTGCACACAAATATCCTCTGGCTGCTGCAGGATAGGACGCAAACTCTGCAAATACTTCTCTGTTTACAGACACACGAGAAAGTTCAACAGACCAAAAGAATGCACAGTGTCTTACCTCCCAACCGTAACTGGGATCTTTAAGGTGTGGCCGCTGCTCTCCTACGAAAGGGCCAAATTTTTCCCCTGCTTCAATCTTCCTTTTGGTCCATATCCCTAATCCTGCTCCAGGAATGTTGGATTCTCGGAGCTCAAACTCTGAAGGAATGGGAATGTCATCAGGAATGTATATCGGAGCCTTGTAAGGAGAGCTCTCCTTTGGTGTGAAAGTTTCGCTGGAGGTTGCTGGGGAAGATGGCTCTTGAATGCTGACAGATGTTGGACACTGGACATTTGTGGCCTCCCCATCAGCTTCTGGCACTTCCTCCAAAGGAAGTTCAGGAAAGCTTTCGTACAAACATTCATCACCTGGAAAATAAAGCCAAACAGTAGGATTTGAAATATCCTGACCGATTTTGCATATGAAACCCTTTCAGCCTGCACGTGAAATGGAGAGGACAGTTTGGTAGGCGGTAGCACCTTCATCAATCACTAGTCCTGCAGCAGAGCCTCACCCTGGAAGGCGCTGAGCCTTTTCCCTATTGTAGGCCTGGGGGTACACAGTGTTTCTCAATATTCCTAACATCAAAAGTGGTTTACATCACTGAACACAAGTGAGGGAATTACATACAGATGTATATGCAGGCACACCCTATTGTCCAATCTGGTCCAGATACAGTGCTCTGCGTTGCATACTCTTTGAAATTACAATTGAAAGCCAGCATTATATGTTACAACTGAAATCTAAGTGAAGTGAAAAGCAGGAAAGCTTTACTGGTCTTTCAGAGAGACAGATTGAACCTAAAGTAGCCAAAATTAAGTTTGATGGCCTCCAATTAGTCTTTGGAGGAAAGGATCCAGCCTACCACACAACTCTTGGCAAGAACTCCAGCTGATGTAAATCAGTGTCTTACCATTGACCTCCAAGAAATGCAATGGTCTAAAATAAGTTCAGGATCCAAACAGCACCTTATAGAGAACATGAACCTTCTCCTCTTACAGTTGCGAAAAACTGTGCCAGATCCAGAACACATTTAAAAAAACCCCTTCATCTCTGGGTCTTAGCCAGCAAACAAAAAGAAAAAAAAGAAAAAAGAAGAAAGGAAAACTCACTATTTTTGACAGCTCAAAATGTAAGGCTGATTGTAAATTCCTTTTAGTCAAAAAACTCTGAGTGACTTCAGTAGGGGCTTTAGCTGCACCAGCAATACAGTACTCAACCTAATAATATACGCAAAAGGAGCAAAAAGACAAACTAACCAAAAAAACTTCTTAATTATTTACATTCATTTAACTCTATTAATGTTACTGCACTTTTCCTACACACCAGAATTCATTCCGCTTAATTCTAACCTTAATAGGAGGCCAGAATACTATTCTCCAAGGAATGAAGTTGAGGGATCAGGTTTTTAAGGTCTGAGCATGAGGATATTTGCATAATATTGTTGGCCCAGAAATTAAAGTGTTACGCTGGGCTTGGCATTCAGAATGACTCCATTTCAGTGAAGAAACAGGAAACTTTAAAATGTTCTTTCAATTTCTTGCTCATTTAAGAAACTATCCATGGTAGATTAGCACCGTATGCCTTTTCCACTAGAAACTGGTCATAGCCCATTATCTCTCACATCTTTGTTACATATTATCTCACAGTTTTATATCTGTACTTTCATGCTTCTGGTACTGCCTAAGACAAACACTGGGACATAACAAATCATTTGAATAGATTGCTCCCATCACATGACTGGCAAACTGGATTCTTCATCTGTGAGCAATTTATTCACAGCCATGAACTGTTTTTCTTTCTTTTATGTGACACTGGCTATGACCTCATACATGTCACAAGAAAGTTCAGCTACCCTTTCCTTCGGCCTCTGGTTTGGCAGGCTCTCCCTGCACTTTAACGATTGAACCCAATATTGATTAGGTTTTTTGTCACTTTTCTAATACCTGGCACTCTGAGAAGTAGAAAATCTTGACTGATTCTACCATTTAGCTGAGGACACACAGAGAGATTTTTTCCATCGCTTATGCTTCAGAAATCCTGCCTGTCATAGCTCAGTGGTGCTGAGTTTGGCAAAGATGCTCAAAGACTGGTGAAAGCACCAGCGCAGAGAGCTTTCTCTGTGCCCAGCACCTATGAGCCCATGCCTGTAGTTTCCTACTCACAGCAAAACTCAACCTGGGCTCCAAGGAACATGAAAAGGGTAGGGACACAGCTCCACCTGGATGCCACCATTCACTTCGCCATGCGCTGAGACGACCACGTTAGCAGCCATCCCTGTTACACCGTGGCATTGCTGCTGCCTGCAAACACGGCTCTGCTCCAGCGTGGTGGGATGGGTTGGGGAGGGTGCTCTGCGCCTCCTGAGCATCCCTGAAACCCCAACATTCTCCCTGACTTCACGGGCCAGCAGCAATGCTGCTTACACCCAGGGAAGGCTTGCTCCTGTTCAGATGTCTTCCCCCCAAATGTTTAGATTGCAGCCCTGCCTAAAAGGCTTCAGCTGTTTTTGAAATAGGGGGAAAAAAAAAAAAACTTAACCCGTGTATACACATGGGGTGCAGGAAGAAAAATCACACAAGGAAAGTGATCTGGATGATGATAAGCACATGGCTTGCTAGAAGGGGGGGGGGGGGGAGTGTGTGTTAAAAACTTAAGGCATCTAAATCCTACTGATTTTCCATGACAGCTGTGTGCCTGACACTCAAACTCCTTAAAAATCTTATCTCACACAGTCACTGCTGTTCACATCCCACCAAGCAGTGCCCCCTAAACCCAAGGCTCTCCCTGGGTCCCACAGCCACGCCCGACTCTCCTCCATCAAACAACGAAGCAGCTCAGCCAAAGCATTTAAGTCACAGTAAGCAATGACCTGCTCTGTGCATTCCCCCAAAGGGCCACCTTCCTCAGCCCCACTCGCCAGCAGCGCCTGCCCACGAGCAGGCACAAGCTCAGCCTTAAACGTTTAGCAAGCGCAGCTTTACAGATGTTTCTTCTCCCCCAGGGACAGTCCAGTTTAATTTCTTTCTTGCAGACTCAAAGGCCTCAGTTATACTTATCTCAGTCATTCTGGCTACGCTCATTTTTAGCCATATAGGGTCAAACCTGCAGCTGATAAATTGGCCTCTGGAAGCCTGGCAGGGAGACAAGTCAGTTTGCTGGGTCTATTGTGCCTCCTTTGATTTCAGCAGCCACACCCAATGTCGTCGTTAAACACGGTCTTTCAGTTTGAAAGCTCTGGAAAATATAATACGCCTATGTGCCCCAAAGCCCTAACAGCGTGGGTAACATGGATTACTGAAATAATATTCTGTCTGAAATAGCAACGTATTCTAGCAAAAATATTTTTTCAAACCTCAAAATAAACAAGAAGTTGATTACAACTGCCCAAGAGACAGGAAGACCATTAAGATATATTTGTGAAATTAACGATAGGAGGAGCTATATTAAAATCAATGTACATGAACCAAGGATCTGGTCTTCATTTTCAAAGGCTGTGGGACTATTCCTCTTAAAATTTACACCCACATGGATCAGAGGGACTTCCAACAAAACTGTGTGATAGTGACTGATAGAAAACCTTGCTAAGGTTAGAATTAGACCCAGGGCCTGTGCTGATAAGCAACGTTTTCCCGGTGAACTGCAAATCATTCACACAGATAGCACTGCAGTTTTGAAATTCAAGATGGCTTCTTTAAAGTCCAATAATTATCCCCACTAGAAATGGGATGGAACAAAAATCAAGGCCCCTGATAAGAGAACAGATGAGATTAGGTAATGTGGAAGCTTAGATGTTAACCTCCATAAAATTCTTCACCAGTCTTTTACAATAAAAACATGAGCAAGCTTCAAAGGAAACCCAGGAGGAAAGGTTAATTGCTACTAAAAGACCGGGGTGGACACCTGCATGTGCACTTTTGACACAACCTTGCACGCCAGCAGGAAAGAGTCCACGTGGCTGCGTGCTGGGGATGTGCCTGATGAGGACAGCAGAGCGACGTGCCAAAGCTACCGCCTTAACTCTGGGGCCTGGGGTCATTTTGAGACTGAGAGGGCTTCTGTGCATGGCTGGGAGGAGGAGAGGACTTCCTTCCATTTGGATGTTTCTTAGCAGTTCAGCATGCTCTTCCTCTCCAAGAGCAATTAGGTAGGAGGCACTAGTGACTGAGGGAGGCAGAGGCTGCTGAACACAACCCAAACTGCTTTCCACTGGCTGTGACTGCTAGCGAGGCAAAGGCGTGCTGTTTCAAAAGCACACTGGGCCACACATCCAACGAAACCATGCCTTTCTGCAGCTGAAGTGCCACACAGTGGCATCTCACATCAAGGGGATGTGCTAGCTTGTTACACGCATCAGCACTTCAGGGTGGTCTCCAACTTAAAGTTCACACAAAGTCCTCCAGGGCTCAAGCTTGCATCACGACCTCCAGACCCAAAACCACCCCTAACAAAGAGAAAAGTATCCATACAGACTATCCATTCTCCCATTCTTCAGGCAATTTGTGCCCAAGGATACACATTCCCACAGTGACTATTGACTGACAAACCCTCTAGCATGTAAATCTGGTTCTCTGCACTTGAAGTCATGCACGTGGCCATCAGTGACTTAATCACTGCTGGATGGCTGATTACTTTGAATGAAGGAGGCAGGCTGGAAGCAAAAGCATCTAGAGAGGCTACTTCAGAAGTGTTTCTAACACCATCATCTTCTGAGCAGGATAAAGTAAGAGCTGAGATAAATGTGGAAGTGGCTCTTTGCAATGAGAAGATACACACAGGTTCATGCCTGCAGCTCCTCGAAGGTGAGAAAGATGACCTCTAGCCCCAAAGACTAGACATCAGAAGGACCTGTCTCTGTTCGATGGGAGAAGTCCATCACATGTCAGGACCTTTGAGCTCCGCTGGCTCTGTTGACCATGCCTGGTACGAGCCTTTGGTGAGGATGCGCTAACGAAGGCTTTGGGGGAACAGAGGAGGAGCGGGTGAATTAGCCCTTTCTCTTGTGGCAACTGTCGACCTGAATGTACCACAAAGCCCTGAATCGGATCCTTGAAAGAGACCAGAGAGCATTTATATTTGTTTGACCTAGCATTTCTATTCAGCGCTGAGGAAATCAGCGTGGAGTATTTGCAGGGATATCTGAAAAGGAGGCAGGCGTTTCCTGTTCCATACAAATGAGACACCTTTATCTGAATTTCTGTTTGAACAAGTATTAAAGAAAAAAACTGTTACAGGCAGGGACTGATTGATTACAAAATATAGCCACATCAGTCTAGAACACAGGAGGTCAGGAAAAGCAGAAAATTAAGAGAAGAAAACCCATTAGCTTCGAAAGGAGCATATAGCCGGTGGTGAACTAAATGGGAGC